CTCGTATTTTGCATGCACAGTGCAAGCCCTCACTAATTTGTTTATTGTGTAATTTTTTTATATATTCCCAACTAATAATTCTTTTTTATCATATATTATGGGTCCTTTTAACGCAAAATAATTTCTCACTAATTTGAGCATATGACACGGATCGAAAAACACGTAGACAGGTCTTAAAGTATTTGGATGTTCAAAGTAAGGCTTAAAGTCGCTCTTCTCTCTGTAATTAAAATTAGCGCCTAATACTTCACATGCAGTTGCATGTGTTTTATCACCATCAAAAGTAATACTAACTACTTCAATGTCACTTTGGCTAAGTTTTATTAATAGATCTTTTAAGAGTACTGCCTTTTCTTTACCTGTTAAAGAATTAATTAAATAATGCGCAATAGGTGTTTTAAACGACCCATTAATGCAGACTAACATAAAAACCAATGCTTTAGTAGCTATCTTAAGTTCGTTGTTACTGTCAACTTCATCCAACTGTCCACCTAAGTCGACAACACCTTTCCATTTGTGAGCTTTTTTATCCCAATGTTTCCATTTATGGATGTTCATCTCATCAAACGTAACGTTAAAAACAAGCTTTTTTTTTTGTGTGTCTCAAGTTCTTGCTTTACTATGTTTGACACGTGTCTTATTAATTCTTCAGAAATACCTGGTTTATAATTTTTTGAAGACAACCAATTATTGAGTGTTTCGACGCAAGGTAAACACTTAAGATAACTGCATCTCACAAATTCGTAAGCAGCTGGAGAGTGAAAATGTAAGGTTCTAGCAAAATTTTTTAACTGAGCAGGAAACGCAGCTGTAATTTTCTTTTCTATTATATATAATTTTTCATACGAAATATTAATTCTTGTAAGTGTTCAGGTAATTCCTATTATAAAAGAAATAATAATTAGAAAAGTTTTTTAATATTTTAAGCTAACCACAATCGTTTTACAATGTATCAAAAAAACTAATCGGAAAAAAATGTCGCAGCTTTATGACTGTACTATTTCTTATAAATTGTACAGTTTTTATAATTGTATTATTACTTAAATAAATAAAACTTAAAAATAGAAGCATTAACGTTAACATATTTGGATTTGAGGAAGTTTTAGATTTTTAAACAATTTGATTTATTAAAATGTAAATGTTTAAAATGTAAATATATACAATTTAAGTATTATAGTAAAAAATTATAGTAAAAAATGAATTTACATAATACGCAATTAATTGGAATGTATATACAATTGCAATATATATTACAAATTTACCTGTAAATATTCAGCAGATTCAAAAAACTGTTTTTCTTTCATGTTTTTAATTAATTCTTTCATGTCATTAATTTTTTTTTCTTTTCTAACTAAGTTCATATGGGAAGCAGACCTCTTACGTTTTTGATGAGTCATAACTCTCGCAAACCGATTCCATGCTTTATTTGAATTAAAGTCCTCTTTTGAAAAAGACTCTGATTGATATCCGATCATGAAACGATATTTTTTGGGGAAAACATCGACAGCAGATGATTTTCTAAATATTAATAATACAATTAATAGTACAATTATTTTTTAAAATATTAAGCTATTTTGCATATAAAAAGTTTTTATAAAAATTTTATGTACCTTTTAATACTGTTTCTAGAACTTAAATGATCATGTGTCTCAAAGCCAGTATTCGTACTTGTTGGAAATGATTTATTTTCAGCATTTGTCATATCTTGATGAGTTATTATGTCGCCAAGTATTTGTGTAGATACATTGTTGATTGGTGAAGATAATAATGGTGAAGATTGATCGTTTTGATTTTTTATTATGTCGCCAAGTACTTGTGTAGATGCATTGTTGATTGGTGAAGATAATAATGGTGAAGATTGATCGTTTTGATTTAAAGGGACAGCAGTTGATGTTAAACGTCTCAAAAATGTATATCCATCAGTTTGATGAAATGAATCATTATGGAAGTGGTCGCTACATACAGTGGCTGCCTTAGAAACTGTTGTCACACCAACAGCTTCCATCCACTGTTTTTTTAATTCAACGTTAGCAGGAAATCTGTAATTTAGAATTAAAAATAGAATAATATTTGCCATTTTCGTATGAATTGTAGTTAAGTGAT